GGTCCCAAACTTTGCTAAGCGAAAATCACCCATAGGAAACATCGTTATACGGTGCATATTATTTTCTAAAAAAACACATCATTATGCGAATTCATCGCTAAACGAGGCAATCGTTAAGCAAGGCACCACTGTATTTGATACTTGTTTTAACTAATGTTCTCGTATGGCTATTTTCTCTTGTCAGTGCTATCCTTCCTTCTTAACTTTGGAGCATGTATAACATGCACTGGACTAAGTCCAGAATCCCATGGGTTGTTTATGCTTAATCCCACAATTTTCACGCAAATTGACAATGCCTGCTGCTACTTCCTGTACACCATAAAAACCATTGGAGAAATCTTGGGAGTGGGTGTTTTTGGCACCATGCATGGCCAGAGGGGAAGAATATTCCTGTTCTGTTGGCCTTGTGTACTGAAGTAGTCTAGTAGCTCTTCATCTTATTTTCCTTCTTCAGTCTATAACAATATAAAAATGAATATACAAGGAAACATTGCAAATGTCTTTTGTGGCACAGGTGATCTTTATATGATGGAGGGTGCTGGCCATGTACTTGTGAGGAATACAATCTGTCTCCCAAAAACCTGATTTTGCTGGTTTTGGATCTGCCTCTTTGCCTGAGCCTGCTGGACAAGGGTCTCTTCAAATTGGGAGAGGCCATGCTGCACTGCCTGCCTCCAGGCTGAACGCTCAGATGTCAAGGTTTCCCATCTGTAGAGGTCCATTCCTAAGGCCTTCAGATCCCGCTTGCAGATATCCTTGTATCACAGCTGTGGTCTCCCTCTGGTGTGCTTTCCTTGCACTAATTCTCCATACAGGAGACCTTTTGGAATCCGACCACTAGCCATTCTCATGACATGCCCAAGCCAATGTAAAAGTTGCTGTTTCAGTAATGTGTACATGCTAAAAATTCCAGTTCATTCTAGGACTACTCTATTTGGAACTTTGTCCTGCCAGGTGATACCAAAAATGTGTCAGAGCCAATGCATATGGAACATGTTCAGCTTCCTCTCCTGCCATGCACAAAAGGTCCAGGACTCACTGCAGTACAGAAGTGTGCTCAGGACACAGGTTCTATTGACCTGGATCTTGGTATATGCTATTAGTTTCTTATTAGTCCATACTCTCTTTGTGAGTCTAAAGAACATGGTAGCTGCTTTGCCAATGCGTTTATCCAGCTTGATATCTAGAGAGACGGTGTCAGAGATGGTAGAGCCAAGGTACACAAAGTCATGAACAACCTCCAATTCTTGTGTGCAGATGGTAATAGAGGGAGGTGAGTCCACACCCTGGCCCATGACTTGTGTTTTCTTCAGGCTGATTGTTAGTCCAAAGTCTTGGAAGGCCTTGCTTTTTTATATACCGAGGATGACATAGGGACATGGTGAAGAAACAGTGGGAAAGATCTTGTTTGGGTAATTTTGCAGTACTTGACCCAGGTTTAATTAAAAGGTTCTGATCTCCTCCTCCTTTTTAGGTTTTGCTGTAAGGAACCCTTTGGGAGCCTTGAGATGAAGGAAGGAAACATTTAATAGAAAAAAGTCATGGACAGATCATTGATGATCCTGCCAGCAGTGATCCCGCTGCATTTTTTTTAGTTTTAAAGACTCTCCACCCTCTAGTCCTGAGGCTCCCAGAGGGTTCCCCAAAGCAAATTGGCACCTTATGGAACCTTAGCACAGATTTTGCTGTATATTTACTACATTTCTGAGAAAGTATCTGTCTTACATTACAGTATTTACTTTCTTTTGAAAGTAATATATGAGTTAGTGAAATATCTTTCCTGTTTACTAAATGGTGCCCTTATTGGGCAGATGTAGTAGAGCACATGAAGTTAGAATTGGGCCCAAATCAATCAGACATAGCATAAATGTGGATGTGTTTTCCTTTGTGCTTTTGGAGAATGAGAAGTACTTTTAGAGAAACAGACTATTAATACTTACCAGCTGCTTTTCTCTCTTCTTCCCTCTTAAAACTGTGAGCATTATACAATCATTCATCATCTATTAACCCCAAACAAATGACCTATTATTGTGTTTATTGCAGTCAAACAGGTATTGTCGGCTCCTCCCACTTGATCCTGCTTAAATGGCTACTGGCCATTTCATTTGCAGAGTCTTTTTGCCTTTGGTCTTTGGAAGTTGCTGATATTTTTAATGGATAGCTCTTAGGTTTGGGTGGGCATTTAGCTGACAGTAAATAATGACCTCAATCATTTCTTCATGGCAGTTTCCCACTGTGTTTCTCAAGAAAATGTTAATCTTCTGAGTGTATTCTTGCTGCCTTAATGGCTGTTGTTGGTGGGGTAAAAAGCAGGGCTAACTCCCTTTAAGTAGGCTCCATAATTATAGAGCATATTATAGTAATGTAGCCTGGACATAACAAGTGTTGCTATGGCTGGCTCACAGATGCTAAACCAGCAAAGTATTTATGGCAGTCAACACACTTTTGCTCCATATAACTCTATGTAGCCTAGGAACATTCTTGAGAATGTGTGCCTAACTGGAGAGGAGGAATGTGTTCCTATCAAGAGAGCTAATCTGGGAGGTGGAATGGGGCAACATTGTGCTTTGTGTGTAGTGTGTACTTCGGCAACACACCTGTGTATTTTGTCTACATACACACATACCTTGAGCCTCAGCAGCATATTTTGTGACATTTTAAAGTCAACAGACTGTGTGTGGGGGAAAATCTTTACAAACTGGAATGTGACACTATTGACACAAAACACAAGAGGCATCATGAACTTCAGCAAACGCTTATGTCGCTTGAGGGCTACTAAGGATAGAAGTGTAAAAACAGGTAAAGAATGTGGGGGTGGGTGGGATGAAGATATTATGAGGGGTGTGTGACAAGATGGATCAAATAACATGGGGGCACAATAAAGAAGTAGTCTCCAGCCAGGCAGCTTGAAAATACTTTGCTGGTCGTTTTCGCTCTTGTCTCCACATTGTCTTTTATAAAATTTGGTTCCCCATGGTGGTGGCTTTCAGTGGGGAAAGAGCAGTAGCTGTGTTGTACATGCTGTGCGCTCTCTTGTGGATACATCATGAGTGGGTGATGCACAGGCAGGAAGAAAAGAGATCGGGCAAAATATTTGTAGCCAGAGCTTCTACTTCCAGTTGCCTCTCAACAGTCACCACCATTTTCCTTCAAGCTCCTTGTCTGGAGATCCACTGATGCCACTGCTGCAGGTAAATGAGACTTGCTGGCCTGGTTTGGCAAGGAGAAGGAACCACTCAGGTGTCAGAAAGGAGTCATCAAGTAGAGGAGTGCGGTCGCAGCAGGAAGGAGTGCTGCTGCTGCTGCTGCTTAAAGCAAGGATTTGTTTATTTATTTTATTATATTAGATTTATACCCTGTCCATCTAGACTGGGTCTACTCTGGATGGACATGGCGCGGCAAGTGGCCACATGAACATGAATAAGGACTGTATTGCGAAGGCTTTCATGGCCGGGATCTAATGGTTGTTGTGGGTTTTTCGGGCTCTTTGGCCGTGTTCTGAAGGTTGTTCTTCCTGACGTTTCGCCAGTCTCTGTGGCCGGCATCTTCAGAGGGACTAGTGGCAGGAATCTGCAAAAGCAAGAAAATGGAGAAGTGAGAAAGAGAGCTGAGTGAGTGAAGGGGTATTTTATCCTTGTGTCTGCTACTTCAGGTGCTATACCTACTCTTGCTTGAAAGGAGTAAACAGTAAGGGAAGTAGAAGGTAAGAGAGTGTTTTGGGGCCAGAGGGGAGGCCTTTTGTAAATAGAAAGGCTCCCAGTGATAGGAGAGTGGCTGTGACTTCTTCTCTGGCATTGATTTTGATTAAATTTAGAGAAAAGACCCTTTTGGCCCTAGTCTCTCTACTGTATTGAGATAACACTAATCTCTCTTTTGGCTTTTATAATATTACCAAGGTAACACAGATAAACTACTTGGAGTGCTCTAAAATATGGGGCATTATTACAAGAAATTTTTAGGCTAGCCTCTGCAGTGTTGCACATACCTGTAATCACATAAAAAGACTTCTGTATCAACCATACTATATTCAAAATAAATTATATTTTCACTGATTTTTTTTGAGAGAAGAAGAACTATTTCCTCTTTAAAATAAATGTTAATAGGTTTTCATGTTTTTCATTTTAAATTACAAATTTTAAAATGAAGGATTGAAATTAATGGTAAAGAATAAGTGGATGGACATGAGGGAAGCCTGGTACTACAGGGTTTGGGAACTGGTGTCCTAGAATGTGCTCAGAAATTTTAGTGGGTCCAGAACACTGCAGTCAGATGGTTAATTGGGGCTGGTTACAAGGATCACATAATCCCCCTATTACAGCAGCTTCATTAAAATTCAAAATACTGGTTTTAACCTGTAAAGCCCTACCCTTGGGTCCAAGCTATGAAAGCAGTGAAAAATGGCTATATCCATCTCAGCCTCATCAGCTTTTCAAACTCCAGAACTCCAGGTTCTGTAAGATAATGGACATTTCCACAATGAAAATTGAAGTATTTCCTATTCTAATATATTGGTTTACTTATGCAAGGAGAGGATCTCTTTAAGAACAGAAAGTAGTCCAGCAGAACATTTGAGTTTGTCCTTAGTGCTAGATAGTGAAATAGAGTAGTGAATCTACAATTGGTGGATTAATTCTACTCACTCTCTCACACATGCATACATACCCTGTTTCCCTGAAAATAAGACTGGGTCTTATATTACTTTTTGCTCCAAAAATGCATTAGGGGCTTATTTTCATGGGATGTTTTATTTTTGTCATGTACAACCATCTACATTTATTCAGATACAGTCATGTCATTTTCTGGTTGCTGCCCAATTGTGGAGGGCAGGGTTTCACTTAACTAGGACTTATTTTTGGAGTAGGATTTATATTACGAGCATCCTGAAAAATCATACTTGGGCTTATTTTCAGGTTAGGTCTTATTTTAGAGGAAACAGGGTACTTCTTCCAGTATTAATCAGTTACAAAAGATAACTTGTTTGCTTGTTTGTTACTCTACAGGCTTTGATTCTGATAATTCTTCAGGGGAATTTTCAGAAGCAGTTCACAAAGTTGATGTTGATGCCCACCATAGTCACACGACAGGAAGACATGAAGGAGATGGGCCAGTGCAACAGAATGGAATCAAGAAACACAGGTATTCTCCAGAACACACTGGATGGCAATGCTTGGTCTTGAACACTGTTATGCTATTATACTTCAATTAATGGAATTGCAGCTAAGGATTGTTATACATGGTGAAGGTGGATGTTATCTTGTTTCTAGCCAAAAAATACCAATTGTTGTTTTAGGATGCTAACTGAGACAACTGAGCAGGTACTGCATACAAAGTATAAACTTTGCAAAAAGAACTCAAAGCAGAACACTCTGACCAAAAAAAGAGAGAGTCAAGCAGCCAGTGTTCATTTTAAAGTTTATATAAGAGGACTAGGAAGAGACGGACACTATGGATAAATGGTAGTAGGATATCATCTAATGGTTTGAAAAGGCAAAAGGGAAGCTTGGACGGTTAATAGAACTGACGCACCTGCCTGTAAACAGTTGTTACTTCCTGTAAGCAGTGAAATGATTGCCTGATTTCAAAATTGACAAGTCAAAAGTTTCCTTAGTTAGATAATTGCTTCTTAGCTTCAGTTCAAGAAGGAGAAATAATAGCAGTTTTCCAATAGGTAGTTTTTATATTTGTATTTGATCTTTATCTGCATGAGTCAAGAAATTTTGTTTTGGGATGGGCAGTGACCATTGCAGATGAATGCCTTCACAGACAGGTCAAAACATGTAGTAGTTCCCTGTTTCCCCCAAAATAAAACCTAACTTGAAAATAAGCCCTAGTATGATTTTTCAGGATGCTCGTAATATAAGCTCTACCCCCAAAATAAGCCCCAGTGAAGTGAAACCCCGCCTTCCACCACTGTGTAGCATTGTGCAGCAACCAGAAGATGACATGACCGTGTTTGATTAAATGTAGATTGTTGTACATGAAAAAAAAAAATAAAACATCCCCTGAAAATAAGCTCTAATGCATTTTTTGGAGCAAAAATTAATATAAGACCCTGTTTTATTTTCGGGGAAACACGGTAGTAGTATTAATCTGTTGATTTGTCCTTCCTACAGAACGTCATTACCTGCCCCAATGTTTAGTAGAAGTGATTTCAGTGTCTGGAGTATCTTAAAAAAATGTATTGGACTGGTAAGTTACTGTCACATACATACAGCTGTGGATTGCTGTAAAACTTTGTTATTTGTAATTCTTTCCCAATGCCATGTTGCATTGTGAAGTGGGAAAAATCTGGTTTGCAGCTGAAAATTATAAATGTAAGAACATTATTAAGGTCCAAATTAACTCTGCAAATTTTGAAGCTGCTAATCCTGGTTTAATAAGCTGGACTAACAAACTGTTCAGTATTTGTGTGAATGATATCCAGTATTATATCAGAACTATCTATATTGACACAGCTGCTCCCTGTCATTCCATTTTTATTTCAGTTAAAATAAGACACATCTGTAATGTGTTCCAGGTCTGTTGGAGTTAACAGAAATTTTTAGCGAATAATGCACTTCTGCTGCAGAATGCATCTTTACACAAATTCAACCTGTTATTTGGCAGTTTGTTATTTCCTTTATTCTTAATGTTGCAGATGGTCATACAGTACTTTCAGCGGGCCCTTCACTTTAGAATTTTGTCAATCAATCCATACTGAGGTGTGTTAGATGACTAGTGCTGATCTTTTTCCTCCTCTTGTTCACATTCCTTTTGAAAAGTTGTTGCTTTAATCCTTTCCTACAGTGATTTGTTGGTGTGGTGTTACCTGTTAAATAAAGAGCAGAAATCCTTATTTGATCTGAGCTTGCACATTCTATTATTTTATATGGTTCTAGTTATAATTTCATTCCTTAAACATTCCAGTCTCTCAATTTGGATCAATTGCCATGAATTGTAGGATATGTGAATCTATATCACAGCATAGAAACCTGGGGCAGGGGGCAAGCTAAAAAGTTCACTTTTGGGCTATAAAATAATGTTGCTGCCACTTTCCGGGTGAAATCACATTTGTATACTCTTGCCAGTACTGCACATGATAAGAACCTTCAGCTCTTACCTAATACAGGAAGGAGTCTTCACATTTCAGTTCTCTTAGGTTGTTCAAGAATAATCCTGCATGCAGTGTGGTAAGATGGGGGTGATCTATGGTTGAGTCTTTACTGCTGTTGAGTCCTGCTGACTCACATCAGAGGGAATACAGTACATCTGTGGAGGGAAGAGAGGTGATTTCTTTCTTATTTAACAAAACTGCCCCTCCCATTGAAACCAGGGAAGGAGAATGAACTACCTTGGGGTTTTAGAGCTGGTTAGGTTTTGGACTTAACTAGCCAGTATTTTTGGTAATGAAGGGCTTTGAACCTTTGTGGACGCACTTGTCTCCCTTAACAAACAACTGTAAAATTTTATTATCTTCATTTTTTAGGAATGAATCTCGTTTGGAGAATATGGGTTTCTTGTGACAATGCAGAGCTGTTAAATATTTTTTACTCCACCTTTACAGCACCTTTAAGACTTAGCACTATGATGGACTCAGGCTGTCAGACATATCTAATAAATGGGATTGCAAACAAAGCACATTTATGCCAGATAAATTTATTAGTCTTTAAGGTTCCAAGATAATTTTTACATGGTTATACTGATGCAGTTATCCTGCTGGAAATCATTTTTGTTTATTTGTTTTTCTTTCTGGTATTTCAGAGTCCATCATATTATGGCATGCCCACTGAAATAAAAAAAACCCTTAAGTCTCTACTTGGCTTATATAGATAAATTTATTTTGGGATCTTGGTCAATAGCATACGAAAAAATGCAATATTACTTCAAAATGCTTTTCTTCCAGTCTACCTTCCCAAACTCTAATGAAGGCAACTTTATCTTATAGGTCATGTCCCATGTTCAGGGTAACCATTTTGTCTTCATTAGAGAAAAATATTTTTTATGATTATTAGAAATGCATATTCATGCTACTGATAATCAGTGCAGAATTAATTCTAGATCTGCTGCCACTAGCCCTTTTACATAGCAGAATTGCACTTTTCATGGATCAGAGTATAACCCGTCACATTTCATCTAAGACAGAAATCCATAACTTTTTTTATATGATAACTGTGCACATCTAGTAGCCTGCATCTCTGGAAATTATCTGTAGCTCTTGGGTAGATTTTATTTGATTTGTGGAGTCATATACCATGCATATTATAAATTATAGTAGACATGATTTTACTTATCTTCCCTGTTTCTCTGATGGTTAGGTGGGATGATTTTTATCCTGTCATTTAATTCCATCATCTGCTATTTGTGTACATTCTTGTAGTTGGGTAAGCCTTGCTTTTTCATTCAGTCTTTTTTTTTCTGTTTAGGAGCTGTCAAAGATTACTATGCCCATTGCCTTCAATGAACCCCTGAGCTTCCTTCAGCGGATAACAGAATATATGGAACACACATACCTCATTAATAAAGCATGCTGTCATTCAGATCCTTTAGAAAGAATGCAGGTAATTTTTTTCCATTTTCTTTCCTGTGGTTTGATGTTAATTGTAGTAATATGGCTACTTGGCTACATAAAAATGTGTGAATGTATATGACGTTAAGAATGCTCTGAAATGTATACCTCCTACTTGTTTATTCATCACTAGTGTTTAGAAATCAGTACAATACACTGGTGTAATGGACATGCAACAATGGACTCAAGTTATAGGAAGCCAGATTTCGGTTGAATATCGGGAAAAACATCCTAACTGTTAGAGCAGTGCAGCAGTGGAATCAATTACTTTGAGAGGTGGTGAGTGCTCCAGCACTGGAGGCATTCAAGACAAATTTAGACAACCTGGCAGATGTCCTTTAATTTGGATTCCTGGACAGAGCAGGGGGGTGGACCTGATGGGCTTAAAGACCCCTTCCAACTTCATTATTCTATGATTAAAAGGAGGTATTACATCTGTGCCCTTCTTTCTACGCACACTTTAACATGGTGAAGAATTTTAAGTGTGTCAGTGAAGCTGAGAGCCTAAGTCATGAGGAGGACTAAGATGTGTCCATCATCTTCAAGGGTAATGGATGCATCAGCAGAAGAGAATGGAGTGTTCCAATAGTGGTGGGGGGTGACAGCTACTAGGTAACAACTGTAACTGAAAGTGGCACTGGTGGAGGAGGCAACAGTAATGACACTCAAGCTAACTTTTGTTAGTACAGTGCAGAAGGTGACAATGTAAACTATTACGAAATTTTCCTTACTATGAAAACTATGATCAAACAGTCCAAAATGAATCAAGAGATAGTGCTGGAAGAGAACGACAAAAGATGAAAAACAAGATCTCTCTTCCAAAAGGAACAAAGAATCAAAAGGGAAATTTAGGCCTAGATTAGGAATGCTGAAAGTAGTGAAGCACGCTCATCTGACCAGGAAAAAAAATAAAGAGAAGGTGGAAATAGTATACTGAAGACTTGTGCAGAAGAGATAAAAGGAATATAGGCTCCTTTTATGATGAAGAACTTGCAGTTGTAGAAAGTGAAGTGCAAGCTGCTCTGAAAGCACTGGATAAACCACCAAGAGTAGATGGGATGCTGATAGAATTATTTCAAGCCTTAGAAATGGTATCTATTAGAATCCTAATGAGTATATGCCAACAAATATGGAAAAAAAAAAACAATGGCCCACTGACTAGAGAAGTTCCCAAGAAAAGGGATGCCAAGGAGTGCAGATATTTTAGGACCTTTGCTCTAAATTCCCATACAAACAAAATGATGCTCAAGGTGTTGCAACAAAGACTTTTACCTTATATGGAGCAAGTAATTCCTGATGTCAAGGCTGGATTCTAAAATGAGGCACTTGAAGTCATTTTGCAAATACCTGCTCTTTAATGGAGCACAGCAAAGAATTTTAGAAAAAGATTAGGCATGGTAAATATTAAATGGTAGCTGAGCTGTAACTCTGCTACACAGAGCAATCTGACTTTTCAAGTCAAGCCTGAACTATATCTCTGTAGGTAAAAATGACAAAACTGAGGCTGTAATACTTTGGGTACCTCATGAGAAGGCAAGACTTCTGGAAAAGACAATGTTGGGAAAAGTTGAAGATAGCAGGAAAAGAGGAAGACCAAATACAAGACGAATCGACTAACTAAAGGAAGCCACAGGCTTGAATTTACAAGAGCTGAGTAGTGCTGTTGAGGACTGGCCATTTTGGAGATAGCTCATTCATAGGGTAGCCCTAATTGGAGGTGACTTTACGGTGTGTAACAGCAAGAAGAAATTTCATCTAGGTGATTCTACAGAGAATAAGCAAGTAGAACAGCTTTTCAATATCTATCCATTCTTGCTATGTTTGTCCTGAAACACCTTTTTTTCTGTTTAATTAAATGACAATATACTGGGATCCAGAGATAACTTTCATAAATTTAAAATCCCTGGAGGAATGTACTACCTTAAAACTGTGTTAGATTATTTAATGTGAAGTCATAAATGGTTACAGCCATGAGATTCACATAAATACAGGATTCATAGGGAGTTCGGGAAAAAAGGCGTTCCCATTAGCAACTTGTAAAATGGGCTTAGGAAATCTTTCCTCATGCTTTCAGAATTGTGGCCTAAATTGAGACTGATTACAACATATGAAAATAAGCAGCAAAGTAATTGCCATTTGGAGAGTCTCAATTTTTCAGGAAGACCCCCTACTCCTATTTATCTTACAGGCTGTTGCTGCTTTTGCCGTTTCTGCTGTAGCCTCTCAATGGGAGAGAACTGGCAAACCATTTAACCCTCTCCTTGGAGAAACATATGAATTAATCAGGTGAGAACAGCCATTATGGGAGCAGGTTTTTTTTTTCTTCTGTTTTCATTTTGGTGTGCACTCAGTCCCACTGACTGGGTAGGATGTGTTTGTCAAGTACCTACATTATTTGTTAATCTATTCTACTTCAATTATTAGTCAGATTGCTCTGTGATCAGTAGCTGAAATCCATTAGTAAGTTGCAACTGTCCTAGGGCCATCGAATCAGAGGAACCTATGAAGGAGTTGATTCACCAAATCCCCATTGATTCAATGGGTCTGCTCTAGTTGTAACTCACTACCGGATTTCAGCATGTATGTAATATGTTGACAAGCCATGAGTCTGCTCATAACATTTGAATCTTAAAGGATGTTCATAAATGGACTGTCAGGGATATACCATAATCATTCTCTTTGCTTTCTTGTAGTGCATTTCTGTATAGGCTTTGGGCATGAGGGATTTTGCAGCCCAACGCCCTGTAGGCCACATGTGTGCACTCAGCGTATTGTAAGGGTACTAAGCTTTAACGCTGGTGTGACTGGATGTAGTGAAACAGTAAAAAAAATTCCTTACAGAATGAATAGTTATGTTCTTTGTGTGTGTGTGTGTGTTAGCATCTTGGTGTTTGGATTTTACAAACCATAATGTCTGAATTGCTGAGTGTAAGTTATCCTCTGGACATGCTTATAGTCATGTCAGTGACACCATATAAATTGGTGGTCAAGTAATTAACAACAATGCTTAAGAACTCTTTTAAATTGATCTTGCATTCACAGTGCTCAAAGAGGCCTAGTGATATGGGGTGGGGGCAGTTCTTTTCAACTGTTGCAAGGTGGGAGGGCATTTGGGAAGATACATCAGTATATATCGCAGCTGCTTTTTGTCTCTGTGTGACTCTCATTTATCCTATTCATAATGTTTCTTATTTCTAGGGAGGATTTAGGTTTTAGGTTTATTTCTGAACAGGTCAGTCACCATCCACCTGTCAGTGCATTTTATTCAGAAGGCTTAAACCAGGATTTTATTTTTCACGGATCAATTTATCCTAAACTGAAGTTCTGGGGGAAGAGTGTGGAAGCAGAGCCTCGGGGAACAATAACGTTGGAACTATTAAAGTAAGTGTACCTTTATTTTCTTAGTTATATTTTGTGTTAAAGCTGTCTCAAAAAACAAGGCATTGTGATTCTATTTATCTGGATTGTGTGTGACTATGAACAGTTGATCTTGCATAACTCAGACTTTTTTAGGTGGAGGAAGAGATTAGATATCAAGCATATGTACACAAATGATAGCATATGAATATTTCTTGGTATTTGGAAGTTTGCCATTATCATGTGTCTGTAATATTTGGGCCTCCTCTCCTGCCTTAGGCATTTGACATTCACTGGTTCATAAAGTGAATTATTGTGTCTGTTGAGATGTTTTGGGGTATGTGTGTTTATGTTTATAAATCTCTGAAATACTTTGGGCAACATGCAGTTTTTCCAATCTTGGATTTGCATCATTGGCATAGTTTTTGCAAAGCTGTTCTAGCTGCTTATTCTTTCTAGAACTACCTAGGTGTAATTTGTTGGTGGTGTACACTGAAAAGTTGCAATATGTGGCAGATTACTGGTAGGTAAAAAGTTCCTTTTCTGTTCTAGGATGCATGTAATTTGCAAGCAGTGATATAAAATTGTGCATATCCTGAAATCAAAAAAGTAACTGTTTAATTAATGGCACTCCGCTGCCAGGCAGAGCTATACAGTAGTTTGATTTCTTACATACCAATAATAAAAGGCATAAACAATTAAGTTGGAAGGTTTTTAGGTACTTGATAAAAATAGAAAGCAGAATTCAGGAATGATATTTTGTAAAATAACTAGGCCAAAATAGATAATATAAATTAGCAAGAGCATGACATAAAAACACCTGAATTAGTTCTTTGGTACAATGTAATTTAAATAACCTTTGTGCAAATCTAAGAACATAAGCCTGTGGGGAAGACTGAAATTAAGAAGGGTGGCTAATGGGATCATGTGGTATCAATGAGAGTATTTTACAGAATTATGAAAGGATTGAAAAATGTTCTCCTTGGAACACAGAGAGAACATTTTCTCCTTGAAAATGTGGAGTCATTCAGTGAGAGGAGTAGACAGCAGAAGCAGAAATAGAGAACCAGTGCGGTGGAGTGGGTGACTGGGAATCAGGAGCCCTGGTTTCAAATTCCCACTTGGACATTAAGTTGCTGGGAGGTGGCAGTTGTAAATCACTCCTTAAACATCTCATGTGACTTGATAGTACATAACAGGAACAGATAGAAAAGATAGGACTATTCCACACAACACACAATTATCTGAAGATTTTCCTTCTTTTCAAGTTCTGGGTGGCTTTAAAAGGTCAACTACATGCAGTGGTCGTATTGAGAAGCAGCATAGGAATGCTGTTGCTATCTTGCCCTGTATGTATTTCCAGAAGCCTCTGGTTCACAAGGTATAAGATACTGAGCCAGTGGAACTCTCTTTATGTTCCAAATCTGAACTTCAGATATGATTAGCCTTTGTACCACACAGTTTCTGACATGCAAAATCCTACTTGAAATAATCAATCCTGTACCTGAACCACTGCAAGCCTGTACACATTTTTTCTGAAATGGGTCCTGTTGAATTCAGTATGTCTAACTTCCAGCTAAGTCTGTATAGCGTTAAAAAAACAACAGCCTGAAAAGGCTTTGAAGGCTATATTCTGACATCAAAAGTGACTGAATCTCTTAAAAGGGGAATGTATAGTTATGACAGCCTCCTCTCACGTCACTAAGGAGCTGCCACGTCACTCTCACACCCTCACTTTATTCACGCTGCCACCAACCATTCCCTCATAAAACTCTTCAGACAAAAGAATGATTTTTAAAATAAAAACTTATGTTTATTGATAATAACAAAAGGAATGGTAAATCACTATAATAATTAAAATAAAAGGCAATCAGTATAATAAAGTACCCACACACTCTAAATAGAACTTCACTCTAAATATATAGCACAGTACTACACAACATATACAAGCCCTAACTCCCTAAGTCCCTAACTAGACCCTATCAAGTCCCTGTCTGACTCACACCTCATTCACTCCCCCTTAAATACTCTAGCTCCACCCTCTTATGTCCCACCTCCCGTCACGCTATTGGCAGATGACAAACAACCATAGCAATGACGGGCAGATGACATCACCGTTACTGTAACAATAGTATATAATGTATTTCTTATTTTTCTTGAGGATTAGTGAACATCTACTACAAAAAAGCCAGATCTTCCACATAGCAGCTTTCTATGCCATTGAAACAAGTTGTGTTTTGTGTACCTTCTATTGTTCTCTGTAGCAGCTTTTGTTAGAAAGATTTGTGGTGGTAGTGCCAGTCAGTAGGTATAAAATTCTAGATGCAAGCATAAAGATTATGTTCCCTTTTGAGTAAAAGAGAAAAGTTTTGTTTTGATACTGCAGCATGATAGGTAATTAATGCTCTACCTTCCATTCCATCCATTTGTGTCTGCATACATGCATGTGTTTATGTGTGTATACATGCTCAGAATCATATTTTGTAATTTAAAAAATAACAGTTCCCTCTTTTATGTGTGTTTTGCATATGGTATTTGTTTAAATATAAGCATGTGTTTAAATCTGAGTGTGTTTAATATAAGCATGCTGACAAATGATATTGGTCTAAATCAGTGAAAACAGGAGTCAAGTTGTTAGCAGCTTGACCGTTTTAGAAGCATTTTCCTTTGTCAATAAGAATGCACACTACCTACAAAAGCATATAAGAGTAGTGTACTCACCCATCAAGATCATAACAATCTACTTCTATTTAGGACAGTTGGGGCCAAAGCATGGAAACATGGATAAAAAGCGGTGTTTACCAGGATCCAAAGATCTAGGTTCTCCCATCCCAGGTTTCAACTCCTCCTCCCAGTGTTGATAAAATATAAACTGAATTGTAGATCCGGCCTGCTTATTTTTATGGAAACTATAGTAACTTCCCTGTATTAACTTACTAAGACTTGGAGGGTTTGGATATATAGTCAAGAGGCAGGGACAGCTAAGAGACAAATTACTGTGATAAACAAAGATGTTTTGTAGTATTCTCTTCAGGCTGGGTGTTTTGAGGTGTTATTAATATTATTTATTAAAATATTTTTATTCTGTTCTACATCCAAAGATCTCAAGGTTGACCTCAGCTTAGTTGAGAAAAACAACATCAAAAGAATGCCAAAATAATTCAAACTATGTAATGCAACATAAACTATTTAAAACTTAATCAAAACTTGCAACCCCAACAAGCAAGAACCAAGCCATGATTGCTGGCCTCCAGAAGAGAACAGCCTTAATTGTGTTCTGGGACAGTGTATTGAGTTCAGAATGGTAATATAAAACCTTTGCTTGAATGTGTGGGAGGTGATCAATGTTATAATTTTGTGGTCAGGCCCAAATTAACTTGTTTACACCATAGTAACTATGGCAATGACGGGCTATGTCACTGACTATGCTGACACTGACTATGCTTTGACTACACATTGTCTCAAATGCTACTTGTTTTGTGGAGTTTTTCCTGTACAGTGGTGCTTCGCTTAGTGATCGCTCCGTTTAGCAACAAAATCGCTTAGCAACGCTGTTTTAGCGATCGCAAAAGCAATCGCTTTGCGATGTTCTCTATGGGGTATTTTCGCTTTGCGATGATCGCAGGGAAGCGATCATCGCAAAGCCCCCATTTTCGCACAGCTGATCGGCGGATTCAAAATGGCCGTCGGGAAAAAACATGGCCGCCTGCTGTGTTTAGGGATGGATTCCTCGCTTTAGAAGCACCGAAAATGGCGGCGCTATGCAGGATCTTAGCTCAACTGTGAATTTTAAGCCCATAGGAACGCATTGAAGGGGTTTCAGTGCATTTCTATGGGCTTTTTAATATCGCATAGCGACATTTTCATTCTGCAGCGATTTTTGCGGAATGAATTAACGTCGCTAAGCGAGGCACCACTGTACGTGCATTTCAAATCTTGGTTATGAAAATCAAGTGGCTTGAGATTTTAAATGGGGGAATAGTGAATGAGGAAAGGGTTAAGCATCATCCTCTCTGCCACATATTCTCTCTTGATCAATCCCACTTAAAATCCTTTTCTGTTGACTTAATGGCTTTCTTACATGAATTCGTTATGTGTATTTGAATGGGTTCTGGTTCAGTTTGTTGCTAGATCACCACTATTTGGATGGAAAACTTTGTAGGTCTTCAATTAAAGGATTGCATTTTTAGATGTGGATTACAATTAAAATATTTCAGCCACTTTTGTGGTGATGTGTTGGCAGGAATGTAGGTCTATGGAGATGCTTTTAAATATTCAGTAGAAGCACAGACATCTGTTCATTTAATCCAGCCATCTTTTGGTGTGAGCAGTTACCAGTTACTTCATTTTTACATTAATACATAACTTCAGGTCTACCTCCTTTCTTTTACTCAATTCACTGTTAGGCTCTCATCTGTTCAAAATATTTGTTGTTGTTTAGTCATTAAGCCGTGTCCAACTCTTTGTGACCTCATGGACCAGAGCACGCCAGGCCCTCCTGTCTTCCAATGCCTCCCGGAGTTGAGTCAAATTCATGTTGGTTGCTTTCATGACACTGTCCAACCATGTCATCCTCTGTCGTCCCCTTCTCCTCTTGTCTTCACACTTTCCCAACATCAGGGTCTTTTCCAGGGAGTCTTCTCTTCTCATGAAGATAGTGGATCCTCAGCTTCAGGATCTGTCCTTTCAGTGAGCAATATTCAGAATATTACATAATAACTAAGGGTGAATACTGCTGAGCATTCCGTGAATGTGGAATGTGGAAGATGGCCTTAGAAAAATTAGACTTCAGTTAATTTCAGAATTTTTATTTAGCTTCAATTTTATTTCCCCTGGCATCTGATTAGATTTCTCTTTTTCCTCCCAACAGGCATAATGAAGCTTACACATGGACTAATCCTACTTGCTGTGTACATAATATAATTATTGGAAAACTATGGATAGAACAATACGGAACAGTAGAAATTATAAACCACAGGTAACTTCAGTTTAAGTTATTCTGTGTTTTCTAAAAATTGGAAGTGGAAAGTGTTCCTTTTTGATAATGCAAGAGACCATGTAATCACTGTAGTGTCAGGTATTTTTGTGTTCAATGTTTTGTAATTAGCGAATGACTTGGGTAGATGCTAGTTTCTCTGTGCTTTACTGGAAATTTTCTTGACAGTTTTCCCCTTGCAAGATGCAGAGTTTTCTCTGTCACATATATGGATTTTGAGCCTGTTTAAAAAGTTAATTTCAAAACCTGAAGAGCAGTCAAGTGGAAGCAGCTCTTGCACCCCAGTGCACGCTCTCCCACTGTTCTCAGTCAGCTTCTTTTCATGTGCTGCACTCATGATACTGCTTATAAACTTTTGTGCTTTCCCTTCAGAGAAACTTGCTGAACATTGTTTCCTTATCTTTTATCCCAGGTTGGGGTTTTTTCTTGTGTGTGTGGGGGGGGTGGGGTTTGCTTTTTTGATGATGGTGGTTTGGGGGGGGTGTATTTT